CACCGACCTCCTTTCCATCGGCAAACTTCCTGTTTCATCGGCGGTAGTTTTCAAGCCTTCCTTCATCGGCATCGACAATAACATCTCCAACCTTATCGGCAACGCCCGAGTCTAAATCAACCTTTCCATCGATCACCACCATTCATCGGCAACCATCTTTACAAGCTGATTTTCATCGGCTATCAGCGTATACAGTAACTTTCCTCCTGCCGATTAGCCCACTCTGATCATTTTGACACGTCCAAAAAACGGTGTCAACACACACTCGGTTTCCTCTGCAGGGCGAAACCCCCCACCAGCGCGATCTCGGCCGGATTCCCCACCGTCAAGGCTCTCCCAGAGAACATCCACCGGAAGAAATCCGCGTGTGGCTCCATCCTAAGGAAAGCCTCATAGACGGTGACGAAGTCGACGATGTGCAGCACCCCTATTGGATTAAGGTGCTGTAGCTCTAGACCCCACTCATTGAGGAGCCCACGCAAGAACCACTGTGCGGGGTACCCTAACCCATGCTCAGGGAAGGTAAGAAAGGACACCACCTCGCTAGGCCGAGGTTGCGGGAACTCCTCCCTCCCGAGAACCCTCTAGTGCGCCACCTCCTTCGGTGGCAGGAACCCCTTCACAACGAAGGCCTTCAACACCGACTCCCTCATGGTGGACGACCTCCAGTCTGACATTTCGCTCCGGGGTCGCAAAAGGATTGGTGAGTTTTTCTCTTCTCCCTCGCTCTCTCCCCTTTCTTTCCTAGAAACCACCGTGGCTCTCAGGAACGCAAGAAGGAAGAGGAAAGAAGGCGGCAGATGAGGAATAGGCAAAAGAACAGGGCGAAAACCCTCTCCCTTCTCCTACTTAAGGAAAAGGGAACAACAGTTAGGGAAGGGCGGGCCGATCGGAAGGCAAAACGGTGGAGTGAAAAACTCTCTCTCTCTTTCCCATTTAATGCAGATGAGATGCGCCCTGACCGACGAGATGCGCCCTGACCGATGAGATGTGCCCTGCCCGACAGAACGGCTCCTGATCGGACAGGACGTGGCCTGGGCATGGCCCACCACTACCGCACGACCAACCACTACCGCACGCTGGGCACAAGAACCAAAGCGCCACCGCACGCGGGCGGCTCTCCGCTTCCCCATGCCAGACCTGGAAAAACCCAAAATAGGATCTCCGCCAGGAGAGACCATCGGGCCCCCTGAGTCGATTGAATCGCTCAGGATAAACACCGAGAGACAGGTAAGGAGCAAAGGGACGCCCCATATAGGCCATGCCGACTCCGTCACGAACGACAAGCACGGGTCCCGGTTGGACATTTCCGACTAGAGCTCTCCAAACCCCGTCACTCGAGTTGTCAAGGTAAAAACTACCAACCCCTCGATTTCTTTATAATCATTTCATACATCCATACGCGCATTCATTCCATACGCCCATGCCTCCCAGACGATTCGGGCCCTGAACCGCCCGGGGGCTCAGGAACTAAGCATCGCACGTGCAGCGAAATGCATCACAACGCTCCGTGTTGCATCACGAAGCGGCGGTTGCCTCATTCGACATGAGCAACCAACAGAGCTAGGGGAGAAAAATGCAGATGAGCCCCGTGCGGCCCTCGCCCAGTCTAGCAGACAGGGTCATCTCAACCTTCTCGTTTGATCCTGAACCTCTCGCCAAGCCCACAGAATCTCCATCGAGGGGAGGCCGTTAGGCCACCCGGGTCGGTCTCCGGGACGACCCAGGCATCTGCCGGGTTGCAGGTAAAGGAGCAGTGGAATGTCACAAGAGGGCTATGCCGACCCCATCACGAACGACGGACCCAGATTCCATTCGATCATACCCGTTAGCGAACTCACCGAGCGTGTCATTCGAGCCCGAGCGATCGGGACAAGCGACAAAACTCAGCCCCTCCGGTTGTGAGGAAAAGAGGATGGAGTAACGCACACAACTCACACCGACCCCTACTAAGGCCCAACAAGGCTCGGGGGCTCAAGACACAAAAAGCCTGGGTCTACGACCCCGATCTCGCCCCATCCGGCTACGCTCTGACTGCGCTCCAAAAACTCCCTGGGTCTGCGACCCCGATCTTGCCCCATCAGGATCCGCGAGCACCGCCTTGTCGCCTCGCCTGATCTCTAAGCTAACAAACTAACTGACTCGGCTGCGCGGGCTGCACCGAGGCCAAGATCCACGAGCACCGCCTTGTCACCTCACCTGATCCCTAAACTAATGAACTAACTGCCTCGCCCGATTCCATGGCGTGCACCGACGCAAGGATCCACGAGTTCCGTCTCATCCGATCCCACGCCTAACCGCCTCGGCTGCACAACGACGCCTTGGTTGGCAAGCTCCGTCTCAACTAAAAACACGAACACACGCCCGCTACCGAACACCCCCCAGACGGTTCTACCCGAACCGCTCGGGGGCTCGGGGGCTACACCCGCGGGTGTGCTCACACGCAGCCGCCAACAAAATGAAAACATCCTTCGCTGACAACACGGAAAACCCCCTAGACGGTTCTGCCCGAACCGCCCGGGGGCTCGGGGGCTACACCCGCGGGTGCCCTCGCGCGCACCCGCCGTCAAGACAAAAATCCCCCGGACGATTCTACCCGAATCGCCCAGGGGCTCGGGGCTCCTGTCGGCTTCATAAACCCGGGGTCCCTCGTAGAATGGCTTCCACGCCAAGGCTCGGCCCAAGCAGACAGCACGCAACTCATGGGCCGACCCAAATACCTGAGCGACAGGCCGTGGGAGTGATCCAATCTCCGACCGAAAGATCAGGCCGAGGAGAAACAGCTCTCGTTTTCTGACTCTGGCCCACCTCTCCGATCGGAGCGCTCGCTTCGGTCGCCAGCCCGCCTCCGGACGGCCTCTTCGATCGGAAGGCCTGGCCAAAAGCACTACTTCCGACTCCGACCCCACGTCTCCGACCGGGGTTCACAGAAGCCCTGCTAACCGCTCTTCTCCGACTGGCACGATCAGAGCCGACTGGGATCAACCGACCGGGGACGCCCGCTCGGTAGGGACCAGGAGACGGGCGGAGAAAAGCGGGGAAAGGTGCACAAGTCAAACCACGGTACCAGGGACCGTACCCTGCATGGAACAGTACTCTGCAACCGCCCTGACACAAACAGTATTGTAGGCGCCGACATTTCTTTCTACAGTATTATGGGCGCCATTAACTACCATACGGTAAGGCCCCCTACATGCCTCTGGGCATCGATAGTATTGTGGGCGCCGAGATTTACCGTACCGGGTGAACGTGGTGAAACTCCTCACATGCCTCTAGGCATCAACAATATTTGCAGGTACCGACATCTGCCATTCCTGAAGAAGGCAACGCAACCTCCCACATGCATCTGACATTCTACAGTGACATCAACAGTGTTGTGGGTGCCTACCATTATTTTGTACCCGTCGGCATGGGCAACAAGGCTTATAAGCATTCGTACTCTCTCCCTCTCACCTGTAAGGCCATCCCCTTCATCTATAAAAAGAGATGCGCTCTCTCCCAATAGACCAAGTTGATTCAAGCTCAGTCCCTTTAGATTCATTAGATCGATCAAGTTCACTAGCTCGCAACCACAGAACCGCTAGGTTCGGACCTCAAGCATTCGCTTGAACACTTAGCTCATAGCAGAGCTCCTGTCTCTCTCGGCCCTTCCGATCGGAGCCGACCGGACCTCTTGCGCACCCCATCTTTCTCCTTCTCGTTTGTAACCCCACTGCAGACTTCGAGCACCTGGGCTCAGGAATAAAGTCACCGACCGACTCCAACTGGACATAGGGCACGTTGCCTGAACCAGTATAAACCCTGTGTCATTGAGTGCTAGGCCACTTCCGATCACAACGTAAAAGCAAAACTACAAATATTTACATGTTGGTCACTTTCTGCACCGACAGGAAGCTTGCTCAGTTGCTCTACTCGCATGCAAGGAAGGAGCCGGGTAGCCAGCAGCGTCGCAGCGGGCAGCGAGCGGGCGGTTGGCGCCGCCGTGTCGCCGCCGCCACAGAGCGCAGAGCGGAGGGGGCGAGGCCATGGAACCGGAGCGCGGAGCGGAGGGCTAGAGGGGGTGACGGGCGATGGGCGACGGCGGCGGGCGGTGCAGCGTGGGCGACGGGCGGCGGTGGCAGTTCTCTCGTTACATGGGCCACGACTAGGACCATCGTCTCGGGCTGCCCTAGTGCCGGGTCCGCCCATGCACGCATAGATCCCCGACATTGTTTTCCTGTGCGTGGCCACGTGACGGGTGCTTGTCCAAAAGTCAGCAGGTCTTGGGGCTAGCAAGCTGCTTTGAAAAGTCAGAGCGGCACATATGAGGTCAGCAGCAGCTATCTCTGGAGCTGACTGGTCACGATCCACTTCTGTTCCCAGCCTGTGACAACATTAGAGCAACAAGCAAGTAATTAATAAGACGCTCCAGCTCCGACCTGTGCTAGCTAACTGCAAGCTACTCTTCTCCGCTTGAAGCAATGATGTTGTACTACTTAACGCTCATGATGTTTGTTGTACTACTTAACGCTCATGGTGTTTTGATATATACCTCTGTGTGCAGTTTTTAGAAGGAGGCGTACCTAAGCAGTTCCTGTAAGTTATTCTGGCTTTTCGATATTCATAGCTTTGGTTATGTAATTTAATATATATTACGTTTAAATACATAATAAAACTATGTATCTAGAAAAAATCGAGATGATTTTAAAATATATATTATATCTAGATATATAATAAGAACTATTTATCTAGAAAAGTCAGAACGAATTTGAACTATGTATATAGAAAAGGCCGAACGAATTCGAAGCGAGGTAATACCAGGAAAGAAAATGCAGGTAGATGACATTATCATCATCATTATCATATATTATTTCAATAGCGTACAGTATCAAGAAAGCATACGGCCTTTACAAGCATATATCATGCAACAGGAGGCAAGAAAACAACAGGAGTACAGGACCGACAACAGTGAGTAACGACAACACAACTTACAGATGGTAGAGAACACAACTTCGGTCGGGCTAGAGCCTCAGCTCGAGGTCGGGCTCTTCCATCGCCCCCTTGGAGTTGGAGGCCTCCACCGGCGCCAGGGCACTCCTGGACCTGGTCCACTTGAGCACGTCGACACCGACCACGCTGTCGCCGCGGTCCAGCTGGTGCGCCGGCGCATGCTGGGCGTCGCTCCACCTCCCCACCATCTCCGAGCGCAGCGCCGCGGCAGCCGCAGCCCACTGCGGCACCTCCCGAGACCTGCTGCAGGCGCCACCTGCGACCGCGCCACCGCTGCAGTGCGGGGAGCCTGCCGCGAGCGTCGACGACGTCGCGGAGGGCGCGCTGCCGCTGGCAGCGAGCGCCTCGAGCTCGATCCCGGCGGCGTAGGAGTAGGAGCTGGCGTAGGGGTCCAAGCTGCCGACCACGCGCTCCTTCTTGTGCGCGTTCTGGTGCCCGCCCAGCGCCTGTGACTTGAGGAACGTCTTGTTGCAGAAGAGGCACGGGAACAGACGGGCGCCGCCCTTGTCGTCGACGAGGCCGCCGCCGCTTGCGTCGTCGGAAGAAGCAGGCGGAGCCACACCACGAGAAGACTCCATCTGTCAGGAGAAGGGCCCGGTCTACTAGTGGCGAATGGGCCGTGTGTGTAGCTTAGCTGGCTTCCGGTGTGGGCTCGGCCTGTGGCGTGCGTATCAGCTATATAGCTGTCTGCCTCGGCGTGGTGAGGGGGCTTGTAACTGAATTCTGAAACCGTTCATCTCTGAACACGAATCCCTCTCGTGGACATCAGCCGCGTTCCCTCCAATCCTACCCCAAATTCTTGCTATCCTGTTCCCCAAATCTCTCATTCTGTAGGTAGATCTTTACAACTGGTATCAAGAGCCTTCCGATTTTGGGGAGAAATTTTTTCTCACCAAAATCTGGTGCCGAAGCGGAAGCCTACCAAGTTTCAGCAAAAAATGGCGACATCAATGGAAGACCTCAAGGCGACCATGGAGAACATGGCGAAGCAGCTCGCCGGCGTTCAAGACATGGCCAAGCAGTTTACCGGCCTTCAGGAGGCGGTGACGACTACGCTTGACAAGTTTCAGGATCTGGAGGCGTGGCGCTCCTTAGCAGAGACCTCGATGGGGTCCATGATGCAGCAGTCCCAGGCGACGGCGACGAGGGTCCAGCAACTCGAGTCGCGGCCACCGCCTCCACCACCTCCACAGCCCCAGCAGTTTCCAAGGGCGCCGCCTCCACTTCCCCTGGGTGCCGCGCCTTCGAATCTGCCTCCTCCACCGGCGGGTTGGTTGGACCCCAACAGCGTGCCTCAGCCGTCGCATTCAACGACGGCGAGCAATACCTTGCCCAACGGGCACAGCCTTCCACACGAGCACCGGGATGTTGGTGGTGGGATCCTTTGCGGACCGCCACCGCACCCGGTGACGGGTATGCCTCCCCTAATTAAGCGTGGGCAAAATTAACCGAGAACCGAACCGAAATAAGCGAAACCGAAACCGAAGGAACCAAAACCTAAATATTCGGTCCCTAATACAGTTCTTGCTTTCAACTAACCGAATTTCAATAGGTTAATTAAGTTCTAATCCTCGATTAACCGAAAAACCGAACTTTCCGAAGAAGCCCATAAGAACATGCAGCCCAACTGGCCCATTACTTGCAACCCTAATATATTAACAGCCCACAACAGATCCCCAACCAGCCATCCAACCCCACGCCTCCTCCCAGCCGCCGCCCGCAGCTCCTTCCCGGTCCGCAGAGGCCGCGTCCTGAGGACGTAGTAGCGCGGCGGCGATGGCCCTTCAGCAGGGGCCCTCGACGGCGGCGATGGCCCTCCAGCAGGCGACCTCGACGCTGGCGGCCTTCCTAGCAACGACGGACCACTAGCGCTCGACGGCAACGAACCACCAGCTGGCGCGAGTGGCGGCAGCAGCCGTACCTGCGGGTGTGAGCAGCGGCGGCGGCCTTCCCTGCGGGTGTGAGCGGCGGCAACGATGGCTTACGGCGCGTGGGGCAGCAGTGGTCCTCTCCAGCGTCTAGCAGTTGTACTCCGGTGAGGGCAAAGGAGGGTCGGATCTGAGCGCTATGGTTTTCCCCATTTTCCCCTTCTGTTTTGTTGCTTTAAAAGATGATTCGGTTAGTTCGGTTCTAACTGAAACCGAACCGAACTAACCGAGACCGAAATTCCTCGGTTCCGAGTTCTCTAGCTAACCAATCGGTTCTAAGTTTTGTGCTAACCAAATTTCATAAATAACCGAGGAACTGAACCGATCGGTTTCGGTTAACCGAATGCCCACCGCGACCCCTAATCCCCCACCTCCACCTCTTTTTCGTCCGGATATAGATGAATTTCAATTTCAGCGTTCCCCACCTATCCCTAAAATTGAGTTTCCCAAATTTGACGGAGATCCCCCTCGACTGTGGCGTGACCACTGCGAGATGTATTTCGAGGTCTATGCGGTGATCCCGGCGGTGAAGACTCGATTCGCCGCCCTCAACTTTCAGCTCGTGGCCAAGACATGGTTGCAGACCATTGAGCGTCGCGGCCGGATCAACGATTGGGAACAATTTTTTGCCAAGGTGTTTGAAAGATTTGACAAGGATCAATACCCAAAGCAGCTCAAGCAGCTAGATGCTCTGAAGCAAACTGGCTCAGTGGAGGAATATCTGAAGCAGTTTGAGAAGCTCGTGCATGGTATCTTGCTATACAACAATGCGTATGATGATGTCTACTTCGTCACAAGGTTTGTGGCAGGATTGAAGCCAGAACTCAGAACTGCGATAGCTCTCCATCGCCCACAAGATGTGGCCACGGCTAGTACCCTTGCCCTGCTGCAAGAGGAAGAGTTGAATAGCAGCCGCAGTAAGTCCTTTGGGCGGGATTTCACCAAAGGTAACGGCAAGTTTGCTGGTCCCAAGCAACAAGAAGGAGAAAAGACCAAGCAATTGTCTGACTCTGATGACAAGCTACAGGAACTGAAATAGTTTCGCAGGAAGAATGGGCTTTGCTTCAAATGTGGGAACAAGTGGAATCATAATCATCAGTGTCCTGATCAGATTTCTTTGCATGTGCTGGAAGAATTGTTGGATGCCCTGGGAACAAATTTAGAGGAAGAGGAGTATGCTAGTGAGTCTCAAGAAGTGGAGGAAACTGTGATGGCTCTGAACTCTTCCTTACCAGTACAGTCAACTAAGAGAAAAACATTCAAACTCTTAACAAATGTTGGTAACCAGAAAGTGTTGATTCTAGTTGATTCTGGCAGTGTAGGCACATTCATTAGTGATGCCCTGGTACAACAACTGAAGTTGAAGACTGAAGATTGTGCACCATTACAATACAAAGCTGCTGATGGAGGCATTCTCAATTTCTCCTAGAAAGTACCTACACTACAGTGGTTCATTCAGGGAACTACTTCCACTTCTAGCCCCCAAGTGTTGTAGTTGAAGTGTTTTGATATGATCCTTGGTGAAGATTGGTTGGAAGAAGTGAGTCCTATCTGGGTAGACTACAAGCAAAAAGTGATGAAAGTCACATATCAGGGCACGAGAGTCACTCTGAAAGGGGTTCAGGATCACCTCTCAAGCTGTACTGCTGTCTCTCCCTCAAAATTAAAAGGTCTGTTCAGGAATGGCATGCTATCTCATTGCATCTCCTTACAGCTGTGTGATTCAGACAGAGACACTGCTACTGATGTCTGCATACTTCAGGCTACTGAGGAATTGGAGTACCCACAGCCTATCTCCCAACTTCTGACTGAATATGACCATCTATTTGCTACTCCAACCTCATTGCCTCCACACAGAAATGCAGATCACTTTATCCCTTTGATACCAGGAGCCCAACCTGTCAAAGTGAGGCCATATAAGTATAATCCTCTGCAGAAAGATGAAATTGATAAGCAACTCAAGGAGATGTTACAGAATGGGGTAATCAGGCCTAGCAGTAGCCCCTTTGCCTCTCCAGTTCTATTAGTAAAGAAGAAAGATGGGTCCTGGAGATTCTGCATTGATTATAGACAGCTGAATGCTATCACTGTGAAGAATAAGCATCCAATGCTAGTGGTGGATGAGCTCTTGGATGAACTTGCTGGAGCTGCTTGGTTCACCAAATTGGATTTCAGATCTGGTTATCATCAAGTATGTATGGCTGTGGGAGAAGAATTCAACACTGCATTTGCCACTCATCAAGGCCTCTATGAGTTTTTAGTAATTCCATTTGGGCTTACTAATGCACCTGTCACATTCCAGTGCCTGATGAACACCATCTTCAAACATTTGCTCAGACATGGAGTCTTAGTATTCATGGATGACATCTTGATATACAGTGCCACTTTGGAAGAACATGTGAAGTTACTGAAGGAGGTGTTCCAAATCCTCAGTGATCACCAATTCTGTATCAAGAGATCAAAATGTTCTTTTGCCCAACAGAAAGTGGAGTACTTGGGCCATGTGGTTTCAGCAGAGGGAGTGGCTACAGAACCTAGTAAGGTTGAGGCAGTCAACAAGTGGCCTGTACCAGCAAATCTTAAACAGCTCAGAGGATTCCTTGGTTTAACAGGGTACTACAGAAAGTTTATTGCTCAGTATGGTATGATCAGTTAGCCCCTAACAGCCATGCTTGAGAAGGGTACCCAGTTTAGTTGGACACAGAAAGAGGATCAGGCCTTCAGAATCCTCAAACAAAAGTTAATTGAAGCACCTGTGCTTGCAGTACCTGATTTCAGTAAGGAGTTTGTGCTGGAAACAAATGCCTGTGACTATGGAATTGGAGCTGTCCTTATGCAAGCTGGGCATCCTGTGGCCTATTTGAGTAAATCGTTGTGCCCCAGGAATCAAACACTATCAGTCTATGAAAAAGAATGCTTGGCCATATTGATGGCAATAGAGAATTGGAGGCCATATTCGCAACACAGACAATTCACAATAAATACAGACCATAGAAGTCTATTGCATCTAACTGAGTAAAGGGTTCACTCTAAGTTGCAGCAGAAGGCCTTGGTAAAACTAATGGACCTGAATTTCAAGAACGTCTTGTTGCAGAAGAGGCACGGGAACAGACGGGCGCCGCCCTTGTCGTCGACGAGGCCGCCGCCGCTTGCGTCGTCGGAAGAAGCAGGCGGAGCCGCACCACGAGAAGACTCCATCTGTCAGGAGAAGGGCCCGGTCAACTAGTGGCGAATGGGCCGTGTGTGTAACTTAGCCGGCTTCCGGTGTGGGCTCGGCCTGTGGCGTGCGTATCAGCTATATAGCTGTCTGCCTCGGCGTGGTGAGGGGGCTTGTAACTGAATTCTGAAACCGTTCATCTCTGAACACGAATCCCTCTCGCGGACATCAGCCGCGTTCCCTCCAATCCTACCCCAAATTCTTGCTATCCTGTTCCCCAAATCTCTCATTCTGTAGGTAGATCGTTACACCATCGTGGACATATGCTATACAAGCATTCCGCTGATTAATGGCAAGGTGCCACAAGCATTATTCCGCTATATTGGGATATGGAAATCAGCTGGTGTACCTGTTAGCTAATCTACTGCCACCTTATGTGAAACACAGCAGAGGAAGGCGGCGCCGACTTTGCCCCCTGCTGTAATACAAGATG